TGTTCTTGCTTAATTAGTTTTTTTGCAAAAAAGCTGGAGCTCTACCATTTGAGCCACACCTCAACTTTCAGCTTTTTACGGCTGAATTGGACTTAAGAGTCTCTTGGATTTGTCTTCCCTGGCCAACTTACAACTTTGATTTTCAGATCTAAGCTTTGTGAGTAGTGAGAATTACAGGTATGAGTCAAAGTGCCAGCTAACAAACTTAAAGAGGCCTCGTCTTTCTTATATTTAAGTAAATGTTAATTTATTCTTCTAATTTTTGATTTAGGTAAAAATGTCAGACTCTATCACTGTCTATCTACTCGCAGCATTCATGCTAACACAACCCTGACTTCATTTTAGGTACTTGCTTTTAGGGAAGCTAATTCTCTTCCTAGGGTAAGAAGAGACACCTGATCAGCAAATGAGTATTAATAACATTTGCAGTTAAATTAGTAAGTTGAAGAAAGTTTACAATTTGGCCAAGGGGATAAGAATAGGAGAGAATGTCTTTCAGTTCTTTTCTTTAATCTTAAAATGGTAACAAGGAAAATAACAGTGTTCTACTAGTCTTGGTACAATACAATTTGCGATATAAAACTTGAAGGTAGTACAGTCTTTGTGCAGCTACCTAAGAACAATCTAAGAATAATAATCAATGTTCTGAAAATAGAAATACAAAGAGGGAAAGAAACTGGGTTTTTGATGCTACTGCTAAGCTTCAGAATTAATTTGTCTGTGATATTTCTACTTCTTTCAGAGGCTGCTTTGGTTGAAAAACATGAACTCCTTACTTGGGCTCATGATTTAACTGAAAGTAGAAGAGCAGTGTGGCATCCTTGTCTTCATTTTTGCCTCTGTTCTTGTTCTAAGCCATTCACTTTGGAATCCAGGAAAGATAGTACTAATTAATAACAAATGCCTTCATAAGGATGGAGGAAACTGTCCTCAACAGCAAAATTCCTCTTCAGGAAAGACTATAAGACAGGCAACAATGACTTGTTTATCCTGACCAAAACTGCTCGTCTCAAGTTATAACACAGAAAACAACGCTAAGACCAGTCCATAATGATCAACTAGGCCATACTTTGACCAGAATTGTTTAATAATTACGCATACTAATAGGTAGCAGCTAGCCACAAATGATGGGGATATGCACAGAAAACCTAAAATGGAAAATACTACAAAGTCTCCAGTCCTTGCAGAGAAAAACATTAGGTAACTGAGAGACATATGTGGTGACCATGGGAAGAACAGATCACAAGTTCTTTGAGACAGAATATTGTAATTAAACTTTTCAACTTAAAAGTGATATGGCTCACCTAGTTCATGGGATGTAACAAGATGGGTTTTTTTTAGGATTAATGACAGATTCATTTTAGACTAAGGTAAATCAATGAATAGTTCCTAAAACAGTGTTTGATGTACCTATGCAGGCCGGTAAACCCATCAAATATAATTCAGCAAACCCCCAACCCTGGGACACTGTCTGTCTCATGTGCTGGTCCTGGGGAGGGACTTAGCTCTCCAACTCCTTTACTTCAATAAAAACTTATGCCAGGGTAAAAATAATTATCAGTATTATTATTATATAAATAAAAAATCTGGCTGTGTCCTTTTTTTGGATACTGAAGGCTTGCTAAAGGAAGAGGCCTGACATTACATATAGAAGATCTCCCTCTACACACTATCCAACCCATCATTCATCAATTCCCAAAGCATCAGCTCTTCATCATGGCTGCCTCATACAGAAAATGCTTTTCCTGAGGAAGTCAAGCTAAACAGGATACATTGTATCAAGTGTGGAAATGTCACAATGAAACCCTCTCCTTGTACAACTAATGCATACTAATAAGTAATGCTTTGTCTTTAGGGATAAAAATACTATTTCAGCCTCCATAGTTCTTTTAAAAACAATATCTGATATTTAAAAACAGAGACACAGAAATATGTGACACATAAGTTAAATGTAATCTATAATCAAATAGTGAAGTAAGACAGGACATGTACAAATAACAGAAATAAAGGATTTAGCAGAAAACATGAAGTATTAAACTATCATTATTACTTATTATGAATAAGAGATAAGAATTAAGATACAAAAATGAGAAAAGCAAATTTTAACAAAGAATTGGATTTTGTTTTTAAAACAAAATGGATATTCTAGAATTAAAACCCATTATTCAAAATTAAAAATTCATTGACTGGACTTAGAAGCTGACTAGAAACAGCAGAACTAAATGTCAATAAACTTGAAGACAAACCAAGTTACATTATCAAAAGAAAAAAATCATAAGAAGAGAGAGCAATAACAAAGGGTAACATCAGGTAATCTAACATACAGACTAAAGCCTCCCAAAAAGGTTTTAAAAAAGGGCTAAATTAACACAAAACAAAACACAGCTGAAGAAGAGAGTAACACAGACTCAAAAGCACACCAAACCCCAAACAAGATAACAGAAAAAAATCAAATAAGAATATCATAGTCAAATGATAAAGGCAGGCCTTTAATAGTCCAGGAAAGAACAATAAGAATTGGGAAGCATCTCTTCAGAAACAATAAAGTACAAGGACAATAGAAAAGCATTTTATAAATGCTCAAAGTAAAGTAACTGCCAATCTAGTTTTATACCCAAGAAAAATAACCTTCAAAAATAAAGGCATGAATAATGAAAGGGATATTGACCAAGATGCACTGTACTCATAAACTGACATGCTGAATAGTAATCCCTTCATACAAATACTTAAAGAAAATAACAATTTAATTTCCTTTAATGAAGGCAAATAAAGACATTTTGACAAAGCAAAAACAAATTGCCATAAAATGACTTCTCACTTAAAAAAATTCTAAAGGTTTCTTCAGACATAAAGCAAAGTAATTCCACCAAGATAAAAAAATGAGAGATACTAGAAGAAATGTAATTCAGTGAAAAATAAGTAGATAAATCTCGTAGTTGACTACATAAATGAAAATGCCTCATGGAGAGCTGGCTTGGTACTCTACAGCATTCAAGATGCAGAGAAACTAATATTGTGAGTCCAAGAACAGAATTGGCTTGTACTACATAATGATATCCTGTCTGAAACTTTAAAAACACAAAAAAAAGGAAGAAAAAAAGAGAAGAAATGTGGGATTTAAAATAAGTAACAAGAACCTAAAGATAAGAATCAAACCTTTCATAAGAATCAAAGAAGACTAAAGTACCAATTACATAATATCAAATTTTAACAAATTAAAGGCTGATATTTTCATCTTTAGGTAACCACTTAAAAACTACAAGAGCATTATTTACAATTAATGAAATAAAATAAACAGAACACAAAAATGGTTTATATTTAAAACCAAACATGTCCATGAATAAATGCCAATCAATCCATCATTAATGCCTTCCTTAAGAGGGAAAAAAATAAAAATTAAAGAAAAATCCCACTCTTATTAACTGTGTAATTATATGTCACAATAATAATAATGTGACATAGCCAGAAAATACATTTGATCTCTGTTCTATTTCCTGCCAAACAGCTCTAAAACTTTGGAATTCCCAAAGTGAGAAGTTTTGATTTTTTTTTCTGATAAGCTAACAAGATGACTGGAGGGAGACTATTGGGCAGCCTTAAAATGAGGCCTTGTTGTTGGGGGGGTGGAGAAGAGGAGACAATATGAGTAGAGTTACAACTTTTAACTTTAGGCTTTGACCTCTGGACAGAGGGATTAGTTGAATCACTCATCTGTATAGAATGAATACTACAAAAATAAAATCAAATAAATGCTGAGGGTTGGAGGGTTTCTTGGCTGAGAAACACTCAGAGGTTTTGAAAGAACAGCACAGTAAAAAAGGACATGGAAGCTCGGTGGTTCTCCATACTTTTCTCTACCCATGTCTTTCAGGAGGCTGTTCTTGAGTTGTATTCTTTTCTAATAAACCAGTAATCTTCTAAGTAACTTGGTTTCCTGAGTTCTGTGAGCCATTGTAGAAAATAATTAAGCTCATGGAAGGGTCATGGGAACCTCTAATTTGCAGCCAAATCAGGATGAAGTTGTTGGTAACGTCGGGACCCATTTGCAACTGATATCTAAAGTATAGGACAGAGCCTGTCAGCTTACTCCAGATCTATAAAGAAGTAGCGTTAGAACTGAATTGAACTGAATTATAAAACATCCAGTCAGTATCTGCCAGAAAACTGAATAGTTATGTGTGGGGGGGGTGTAGAATGCATATCTGGACATCAGAGTATTGATAGTAGATGGGAAAGAAATTCTCCTTTAATTCTTATAGAGAATCTTTTTCTTCATAGTAAGAATAATCAGAAAATCATAAACTGCTTAAAAGTTTTAAGTACACTTTTAAATACCTAAATGTCAAGAGGAAGTCACAATGGAAAATTTTTAAACATTTTAAAATAGATGATAATGGGATAATATTTAAATTTAAATTTAAAAACTGAAAAAATTTAGGAAGTCAAAAAACTTCTAAAGAATCCAGTCAGTCTACCACCCCTTAACACCAAAATTTTCTACTTCATTTCTCTTCAATATTCTTTTCCAAAAGTTTTGTTTCATTTATCTTAAAAGATTTATTTGCCCTCTTGTTCTTTAAAAACAAAAATTTTGTATATTCTAATTTAATACTTTTATTAATATAGAACATGAATTTTACTTTTGATATAAATTAATAAAGCAGATTCTATTTTTAAAGTTCTCCTCCCCACAGAATCTAGAACTGCAATAGTTTTCCATATTAATAAAAAAATTAATTTAGGTCTAGACAGATGTACAAAAACATTATTCTTGTATGTATAAGTATTTTTCCTTCACAATAATTTCCTTTACTTGTAGTAAGTGTTTACATATGGCTACTATTTTAATAGAGTATAACAGCCTGTAGAAATATTAAACTTTTTTCTCTAAGCTTAAAATACCATTTAAATAATAAACACGCTATATCATTAATTCAGATCTCTAAAACAGTCTATATTTCTAAAATATTTCACAGAATAAATGTCAGATAGTCACTTACCACTTGACCTGTTTTTACGACTTGATTTACCACCAGTAAGAAGCATCTTGAGACTATTCCGAAACATGGTTGTGCTCTTCTAGTATAAAACTATAAAAGAAAATATAGAAAAATGTTTACGAAGACTTGATTTTCTATTCAAAGTACTTCTAGTGATTTAATTCATACGAATAACTCTGTTTAAATATATAGTAAAAAATATGACTATATGGTCAACAAATACTATTAAAAGTGGAACAAAGGGTGAACAAATGCAGCAGTGATACTCACTAGAAAGTATGTTGAAAATGAACTGTACAACTTAGAATGGGAGGGTTAGGAGGGAAAAACTGGGAGAAAACAAGGGAAGAGGTGACACTGCTCAAAAATAAATGTACTTATTACCTGACTATGTAACCGTAACCCCTTAGTATATCACCTTTACAATAACAACAAATAATAATAAAGAAATATTTAAATAGTCCCACAGAAGTAATAATATAGCTAGGTGTAGTAGCATACATTTATAGCCCCAGCTACTTGGGAGACTGAGGCAGGAAGATTGCTTGAGCCTAGAAGACCCAATAAATGACTGACTGACTGACTGAATGAATGAATAAGAGACAAAGAATACTATGGTAGTAACCTATGAAATAAAAGTAGCACTAAAGATACACACAAATTGTACATGTCTTTTTATCGAAAATGAACTTTACAACTTTGGTGGGGGGGGAGGATTGGGTGGGAGGACGGGGAGGATGGGAAAGGATGGGAGAGGAAACAAAGGAGGAGGCTACAATGCTTGGTAAGAAATGTACTCATTATCTTGCCCATGTAATTGTAACCCCTCTGTGCAGTATTTTCACAATAAAAAAGAAAAAAGATACAAATATAAAACATAAATTAGAGTTACCAATGTAGTCTTTCAATTGACTCTCCAATTCTGGGACAATTTTCTCACATATCTCCCTTTCTCCCTCTTTCCCTCTCCCTCCCTCTCTCTCTCCTTCTCTCCTCCTCCTTCCTTGACTCTCTTCCTGCATCCTCTCTCCGCCCACTTCTTTCTCACACAGCTTTTCCTTCTCTCTACTGAACAACCATAAAAATAAATAATGCCCATTTCTACATTCTTAGTTATCTACATGGCTCAATTTTTACGCCTATATCCTTGTTCTTCTTCATAGCAAAATTTCCCCAAAATATTATAGTACAGTGTGTCCAGTAGCAAGCATATCCAAAGAAATGAGCAAACATAAAGTGAAACATAAGGTCAACAGATAATATCCAAATCAAAGAACAGAGAAATAAGCATTGAAAAATATGAAGAGCATTGATAGTACATGGAACCCACTTAAAAGCGTTAGCATACACCTATTTGAGAAAATTAGAGAGAGTGAGAAAATTTGAAGTGATCAGAACCAAGATAGGCTTTTGTTTGTTTGTTTGTTAATCACAGCTGTTATTCTACCCACTTCAGCCACCCTTTCTGACTAGCTTTTTTCTGGTTAATTGGAAGTAAGAGTCTCACAGATATCTGGCAAACAAAGACCAACTAAAAGAATACCAACATAGTGGTATCAGCTAATTAAAGTCTTAATGAGCATTATGAAAAATAGAGAGGTTGCAGGTGGAGCTCCCCCAGGGAGTTGACCAGGCAAAGCCCTGGGGTCAACATTGTAATTCTAAATTTGAATGCTCAAACTAGCAAAGTTACATCAAAGTAAAAAAGATTAAACAGCTGGGCACTAGTAGCTCAAGACTGTAATCCTACTCAAGAGGCTGAGATCTTAGGATCAAGGTTCGAAGCCAACCAGGGCAGGATTTGTGAGACTCTAATCTCCAATTAGCCACCAAAAAGCTGGAAGTAGAGTTCTGGCTCAAGTAGTGGAGTACTAGCCTTGAGCAAAAAGCTCAGGGACAGTGGCCAGGCCTGAGTTCAAGCCCTAGAACCAGAACACACACACACACACACACACACATATGCATGCACATACACACAATGTGCAAGCTTAAATATATAAAGTCAAAAGATGAAAATACTAAAAGGTTACAGACAAACCAATAACCATACAAAAGACTAACATGTTTGTCAAAAGGTGCAAGGTCAACTAGGAAAAAATTACTAAGATATAAAGTATTTGAACATAATTAACCAACCATATTACAGGCACATGCGCACACACACACACACACACACACAATACTCTTAAATAATAGCAGACTGCATACAAATATACTTAAAACACATATGTAAATATAAAGCAAATCTGAACACATTTCAAAGAACTGATGCCTTTCCCAACTATAGTGCAACCAAGCTAGAGCTGTTTTTTTTTTAATCTAGAAAATCTCCTATGGATTGACAATTAGTTACATACTTCTTAATAAGCATAAGTTGAAAAGCAAATGAATCACAATGGAACTATTTAAATATTTCCTATATATGGCTTGTGAAAACAGAATAGAACTAAAACAATTATTGTAAAGAAATTTATACTTTAAATATATGAATTAGAAGTAAAGGATGATACTAGTATATAAGCCTCCATCTCAAAAGTTTAAAAGCAAGTAGAAAATAAAAAGACCCAAGGAAATAAAACAGTAAAGAGCAGAAAAATAGAATACAAATGAAAATCATAAAAGTAAACTACTAAACTCTCATCATACAGCTCAAGGGGAAAAAAAATCATTCAGCACTAGTAGTTGACATCTGTAATGTTAGCTACTTAGGAGGCTGAAATCTCATGACCACAGTTGGAAGCCTTAAGTCTTATCTAATTAACTAGTAAAATGTTGAAAATGGAGACATGGCCTAAGTGGTAGAACACCATCATGAGTGAAAAGGCCCAGCGAGAATGCAAGGCCTTGAGTTCAAGCTCCAGTTGCGACACACACAGGAGGGGAGAGAGGAGAAGGGAAAGAGGGGAGAAGGGAAAAGGGAGAGGGGAGAGGAGGAGAGACAGAGAGAGACAGAGAGTAGAGACAGAGAGGGAGAAAGAGGGAGAATGAGAGAAAGAGAGAGAGCGAGAGAGAAAGAGCAAGAGAGAAGAGGAAGCAGCAACAACAAAAATGCTATTAAAAAACAACAACAACAATATGCCGGGCGCTGGTGGCTCACACCTGTAATCCTAGCTACTCAGGAGGCTGAGACTTGAGGATCACAGTTCAAAGCCAGCCCGGGCAGCAAAGTCCGTGAGACTCTTATCTCCAATAAACCACTAGAAAACCGGAAGTGGCACTGTGGCTCAAACTGTAGAGTGCTCACCTTGAGCTGAAGAGCTGAGGGATAACGCCCAGGCCCAGAGTTCAAGCCCCACAACCAACAACAACAACAAAAAGTTGGGTACTAGTGGTGCATTCTTGTAATTCTAGCTATTCAGATGGCTGAGATAGAAGGATCAAGATTCTAAGCTAGTCCTAGCAGACAAACCCAAGAGACTCTTATTTCTAATTAACCACCAAAAAGCTGGAAGTGGATCTCTGGCTCAAGTGGTAGAGTGCTAGTTTGAGCAAAAAAAACTCTAGGGACAGTACTCAGGCCCCAAGTTCAAGCCAAGGATTGGCACCAGAAAACAAACAAACCTCAAAGACTGACCAGGACTGAGATAGGACTGAGAACAACTAAATATCTAATACATTATTTGGAGAATAAAAAATGGTACAATTATGTTCTAGAGAAAAGTCCAGCAGTTTATTAAAAGCTAAACAATGTTTATGTAACATAAGACTCCATTCCTATACTTTTAATCCAAGGAAAATTAAAACAGGTGATAATAAAAAGACTAGTACAATTATTTATCAGTTTTGTTCAGTATATAATAGCCAGTAAGTAGCCTAGGTACCCATCAACAGAAGAATGAATAATCTGTGGGATATTCATGCTCAAGTAGTAGAAAAAACTTAGAAATAAAAAGATATGAGTTATCATGTATTCAACAACATCAATAAATTTCAAAAAAATATGCTGACTAAAAAAATACTCCTTAAATAAAAGTGTATGCATTGAGTTATTCCATTTATACCAAGTTCAAGAATAAAGTAATTTAGGGAATGGAAGCATAGCTTAGCATGCATAAAGGTCTGAGTATAAAACTCAGTACCAAGGGGGGAGGGGAATGGGAGGGGAGGGGGCGGAGGAGGAGGAGGAGGAGGAGGAGGAGGAGGAGGAGGAGGAGGAGGAGGAGGAGGAAAGTAATTTATAGTAGAAGTATTAGAATAATAATGGTCACTTAGGAATGGATAAAAAGGTTCATTAAGAGAGGACATTCAGAAACTTCCTAGAATGGTGATAATATTTTCTATATTGATAAAATTTAAGATACACAAGTTACATATTTGTCAAAATTTACTAAATGTTTTCATCAGATTCTACATGATATTTTATGTAAAGTTAACCTTAAAAGAACAAAGTGGACAATATTGAACTCCATTTAATGATGATATTAATGCTTAAATATTTAGGGAAAGCATCCCACCGAATTAAAGTTATTTTAAAATGCATCCAAAAATAATGTAGAAGGATGGAGGCACAAGAAAAAACATATGTGATAAAATTAATTCAGGCAAAATGTTGACAGTATAAATTATTGGTTAAATATGTATTAATAAAATTATTAAATATTTAAATAACTGAGCTACTGCTCTCCACTTCCAAGTATTGGCCTTAATAAACTGGAATCACGTTGCCCAAGAAGTTTCATGTCTTACTACCTCAATCACAGAGAGGCTCTCGGCTAGTTACTTATTAGTTTAGAGATATAAAAGGCCAGTTTCCTTAATTCAAGAAGGGAACAACTTTGTGGTATATTTTATGCACCAAATCCATTCTTCCTTATGTTTCATTTTCCTTCAAAAACTCATCTCTAAAAATATACACTTGTTCATGTCAGTTCCCTCACTAACTATAAACTGGAAGAGGGCATGGGATGGTGTTAATTCACTATTATATATCTGTAATTGGAGGATAAGTACTGTTACATAGGAGGTGCTAAAAAGTCTATCTATAGCAGGGTGCTGGTGGCTCATGCCTGCAATCCTAGCTACTCAGGAGGCTGAGATCTGAAGATCGTGGTTCAAAGCCAGCCTGGGCAGGAAAGTCCATGAGACTCTTA